TCAAATACAATTTTTTTAAACAAAAAACCACCTTTATTCAAAAATGTAAAATTGTTAAAAACGTGGTTTGCTTTTCAAATGTTCTGGAGGTTTTTTTTTTTTTTAATGACACCTGAAAATGAAACTTTCCCTTTCTGCCACCCTTCCTTTTCTACTGGCAAAATGGAAAAAAGGCATAAAAGGCGGAAATTATAAAAGAGGAAGGAAAGAAAGGAGTGGGAGAAATAAATCCCCCAAATTGACTTTTTTTTAAAAAAACAAACACAATATGTTTTTGCACAAATTTTCAAAAAAAATTTGAATGAATGAAAAACAAAGTGTTCCTTTTCAAAATCTGTGGAACAAAAATTATTCACATTTTTCTGGAATTTTTTAAATGAAAGATCTTCACCACTTTTTGCTCAGCTCTGATGGTATCAGTCCACCTTTCTCAGCGCTTCTGGGCTGGGTCTTTGCATGTTAAAGCATTTGGGGTAAAATGCTGCATGCACTTTCAAGGCAGTAAAGATAATACAAGTAGAACTAGCTGAAGCCAGCTAAGACTCTGGCATAGCTCTGTCAATGCAGCTGTGTGCTGTGTCCACACCTGTCCTTGCCCTCTGCAGATGTAGGAGAGCATGTCTTTAAAGATACATAATGGCTGGTTGATGTTTGTTTTTTTCAGGCCTTAAATCTAGTGCTTTCCCAGCTTTCTACTTCCCTGCTGAAAACATCGCAAGCTACGTGGCCGTCCGGCCCCTCCGTGACATGAAGCTCCAGGCCTTCACCTTGTGCTTTTGGATCCAAGCCCAGAACCGAGGCAGTCAGACCATTCTCGCCTATTGCACCCAGGAAAGAGACAATGAGCTGGTGGTGACTGTGGGCTCGGCCGTGGGGCTGTGGGTAGGGGGCCACTTTGTTGAGTTCCCCCTGCACCACAAGTCTGAGGAGTGGCTCCACTACTGCGTGGCATGGGCTTCCCACTCCGGGGCAGCAAATCTATGGCTCAACGGAGCAGCGGGGAGAGAGAAGCACCTCCAGAGAGGGTACGTGAGCCAGGCCGGAGGGACGCTCGTCCTTGGGAAGGACAGAGATGAGCTTCTGGGGATCTTCTCCAACGGATTCTCCGGGTGGATGAGCCACGTCAGCCTGTGGAGCTGGGTCATCAGCCATGCCGACATCCAGGCGCTCGCCTTGTGCAGGCGCAGTGAGCTAAAGGGGGATGTGATTGCCTGGGGGGAGACCCCCATGAGTCTCTCGGGGGGAGTGGTGCTGGAGTCAGACCCCAGTTGCCAATGACAGCAGGTCGAATGGGTCCCCTCTTTCTGAGCAAATGGGGAAGCACGTTTGTACAGTGTGTGATTTTTCTAGAGCACCTTGAATAACTGGCCGTTTCTCCTTCTGCTTTAAGTTTAGAGTCATTAAACACGCATCATAGTGTGACACGCAGGGCCCAGACACCCTGAGGGGAGAATAGAAGGTTTAAACCCCAAAACAGAGCAGTCCAACCAACTGATTTTATACTGTATTAATGTGCTATAAAGGTCTAGTGAGTAAGGTCTTTTTTGGATGGTTGTACTGTTCTTAAGTCAATGATCATTATTATGCGATATGTCTACAGCCTGTGTTTATGTATATAGAAAACTCTGCTTATAATCTATAGTACAGCTGCACCTCCTCCTGACATCCAGGCAGTGGGCTGGGAGGGACTGCTGCCTCTCCAGCCAGCCGAGACTAGCCCCAAGCACCCAGCATTGTACAACCCAGGGAAAGACAAGTGATGGGCCATTAGAGTTAATGGGAAGACACAGCTATCCCGGCTAGAATTCCTGCCCCCCATGAGTAACCATGAGTCAGCAGAGGGAGGTGGTACTCTGGGGTACCGTTCCAAGTCCCCAGCAATAGGTAACTTGTATTAGAAAAGGGATTTTATTCAATATAGAAACGCAACGCCAGCAAGGGCATCTTTATGTCGGTCTACTGTGTGACTTGTATGAGTTTGCTGTTTCTTACTATTTTATCTTTGGATCTGTGGTTCTTCTATTAAAATAAACCTTCTGTTTATCTCCCCCCAAGCAGGTCAGTGTGTGGAGTGTGCGTGTCGCAGTGAGCTGATCACTTTGGGGTTGCTTTCACACCTTTGGGGGGTGACGAACTAGAGGGGGAAAGCCCAAGTGTCTCGTAATTACGAACTCGGGAAGATGTTTTTGGGGAGACTTGGGAGCGGAAAGGCTGTTGGCATCACCCCCTGAGGAGTAACGAGGCTGGGGGGAGTCCGGGTGAGACCTTGTGCTTGTGGGCTGCTTACTGGGCTCCAGGATTTGAATCAAAGCCCCAGAATCGAGGCCCCCGCAGTTACAGGGCAGCGGGTGACAAAACCTCTTACCATTCTGGGTGATCCCCAAAACGTCACCCACACAGCTTTGCTTTGTTTGCAGGGAGCTGACAGGGGTTAAGCCCCCACATTGGGGTAGTGGTGAGAGGGTGAAAGGAAAACTAGAACACCATAACCACAAATGACTCTCAGACTCAAGCATTTGCCAGCAGTTTAACCTGATTGACGTAGCTGCTGCCCCTTAGACAAAAGAAACGTGCACATATCTCTCCCATATACCACAGCCTCACGCATGGCCTTATCTTCTTCCATTCATTCGTTCGTTCATAGGGGCTGGACTACCATCTCTCCATCCATTATTTGCCTCCTCACCCCTTCTCTGTGGTGGCTTATCACCATCTTCTCTATGCATGGGCTCCCCACTTCTCATCCCAGCATTGCATCAACTCACCCCTCACGGGGGAACAGCCCCATCCTTGCATGGGTTCTCTTTCACCACCCCAGGGATCATTCCATCCCCCTGAGCATGGGATTATCTCGGTCCACTGGCCCTACGCAGTCATCACCCCAGACTCCATCCCATTCCAGGATCATCTCTCCTGGACTTGGGTTGACCTATGGGCCAAGCCAGACTAAGCCCGCGGCTGTTGATTGCCATCAAACCCCCATTCTTTCCATGGTCAAAAGTTTGTTTTTTCCTCTAAAGGGAAATAACTGAAAAATAAAATCTGAGCATGCAAACAGCCTGGCACCTTCTGCACATGCTATCTGCATGACTGACCCCTCCAGTGGATTATTGCAACAAGTCTGTTGTCTCCTAAGAATTTTGGAGCTACGCCATAGCCATTGTGAATTTCCAAGGCCAAGGATAAAACTCTGATCCTCCTTCTCTAGGTAACTGACAGGTTCAAAGATGCAAACTGACCCCTTTCACCAGCCACAACAAAACAACACACAAAAACGTTCAAGATTAAAGAAAACAAAATTCTATTGTTGCATCCACACCTGTACTCTTTCCTCCACTGCAGAGAGAACAAGTCACACACAAACCTGGTATATTGCAGGGCTTGATTCTCCTCTCACCTTAATGGCCCCAGTAGCATTACTCTATTCGTGCATGCACAGAATCTGGCCCCATGTATCACAAGAACATTTTTCCTCCTCTCTTCCAAGTGGAAGTAGAACATTCTGACAGCAGTAAAAGAACAGAAAACACATGATGAGATCAACTCACACTGGGGGGCCATGTATTGGACAGGTATGGTCTTTAAGGGTTTGTTTTCATGTCACAAGAAAATTTACATGCGTTTCATATATTCTTTTGCTGCCGCTATGTGCTAAATAAGTGACAGTGAATAATTCTCCTCGGATTCCTTCATAACATCTTGACGTTACTAGAGGACCATTTACCACTCATGCAATTACCACTCATGCGTCTGGTATATTTTGTTAGAAGCAAAGGTTATTTCTCCCCCTTGTAAAAGTGACAGCACAGTGCCACCAAGAGGGGACCAGATTTCAAACACTTCTGTCTGCAGCTGCATTTGTACCTCACCAATTTGGTCCAATGCCAATAGAAAGATTAATTCCAGGACCGCTCCAATCTCTGTTGGAAGAATTCCTTACTTCTCTACAACTTCTCAGGGCGTTAGGGGTTTTCGATCTTAGAAATGCTTTGCAGGAACAGTTGATTCTGACAGCTTACACTTTATGGGCCTGATTCTGCTCTCACGACAGCATAACTCAGGCATAACTCCTGTGACGTCAATCTGTGAAACTGGTGTGGGATCAGAATCGACAGTCGGAGAATCAAAGTCAGACAGTGGCATTCTGTGGTGGGGTGTGTGAAATCTGTACAGTCATTTCTTCCCCTTCCCCAAGAAGAGTTGAGCCGGTTCTGAGGTCTACATCATGCAGATGGATTCAGATTAAATTTTCACTCAGTCCTTTGGCTGACACTTCAGGACAGGTTTTCAGGCTTCCATTTTTGTGTCAGCAAATTGTGGGTACAAATAAGGTCACCTAGAGGTACCTGCCTGCACCTGCAAAGATGGTACTTAGAACTCCAGGCACCATCATTTACTTACATATCCAAATTATTTTAACTGCACCTGGAAATATATGTTGGTGCTAAAAGCTTAAGGCCTGGCTGAAAATCAAGCCTGCTTCCCCTTTGAACATCCAGGCAGCACAGCCCTGTACTTGTTGAAACACCCCTTTGCAACAAACAGACTGGGCCTACAGACTTAGCCCTGCTCAGTTTCTAATTTGTTTTCTTGTGTTTTCCTATCAGATTTAATACTTATCATTCGGCTCCATGACCAATAGCAGGGTGACCAGCAGCAGACACTGGGTGTGAGGCTCACTCATTAGCACACTATCTCACTCTCACATGTATCTCACTCATTCTGAGTAAATATATAAAAATTTAAAACATTTTTACTCAGGTGCTGCAAGAGACAACAATACAGCCAGGGCCTCTTTGGAGATTGGAAAGCTGTTTTCCAAGCTTGTGTACTGTGGTAACCATGGAGACGACAGGCCCGCCAGAAGAGAAGAGGCTACGCGGGATTTGTGTGTGTGCGCGTGAGACACACTACTTGATGGTCAAAAAAATATGACTTTGCCCAAAAAATGAGCACGACTTGATCAAAAGTTTGCAGGTTCTGCCAAATACAGTTCAAAATTTAAACCCCACTGGACAAATTCATGTCCTCGGGGATCTCCAACTATCCAGGTCTTGGTTCCAAGTAGCAAATAGTTGTGTTTTACTAAAATCCACTGGTTTGCGTTGCATACAGAATTCCCATGTGCCCTAGACTTTAGTATGAATTAGGACATCTGAGCATTTCATATGCAATATTAAGCAGTGTACATTTTAAAAACAAACTATTAAGTGCTGGTTGGATTAAAAACCTGGACTATCGGATGTCGCCAAGGACCAAAGATGAGAGTCCCTGTCTTAAGCAATGACCTGCCACACCACCTGGAAAGTGTCACTCTTTGGGGTTGTAAAACTCCCTCTTAAGGACAGCCAACCCTTGGCATCTCTGCTGCAGGTAGAATTTCATTGCATCCTTCATCCCCAGCTCCAGCCCCCAGTGGTAGAATTGGCCCTCAGCACCGCTCCCACAGGCCACCTAGAAGGGTTACACAACAAGCGCGAGCCGGCCGTCCTGACAAGGCCCTCGATGGACTGAGAACGTTTGCGACGAGCAACCATTTGCGATGCAGAGACCTCTCTCAGCCTGCGCCAGAACAGCCACGTGCAGAAGTTTTCATCCAATCAGATTTATTTACCGCTACAAACCAATCGGTCCAGCACAACCTAGGAAGAGTCCTTTCTGCATTAAGGGCTAATGTTACCCTCTTCCTCACCAGTTCATTCCGGGGACCTCCCCCTTTCGCTAGCTATTGCCACATCAAGGATCTTCACACTTCTGCCTGATGGAGCTTTTGCCCACTGGCTCTCAGAGGCACCAGCTTCCTCTGTTTGGTTAGGAGGATTACAGCAGAGGGCCAATCGCTCAGTTTTCATTGGGTGGCTTTTTAGGCAACATTGCCTTGAATGGTGGAGTGGGACAATACTTCCAGTGATGACAAAAGCCAGAGCGCGCTCACAGGGGCTCACAGCCTGCTTGCTCGGCACGGACCTGGGAGGGGCCTAGTTATCTCCAAGCTGGTTTGTCCCAGCCCTGCTATGTGTGACGGAAACTGCATTAGGGATAGTTAACTGGACAGGCAGCACCAGGGACAGCTTTAGTGGGGGTTCATGGATTCAACGGCACCCACTGAAATCATGAACCCAGGGGTGCAAAACACCCAGAGTAGCAGGGGGAGGGAGGAGGAGGAGCTGCGTTTGCTCCTTTGCTGGGAAGTCATGCATGGCACCATAGCTCGGACCCTGCATCACGGTGGCACCGCTCCCGGCCACATCACTGCATGATGTTGTGTGAGGCCCCAAAGAGTCAAATCTGCCAGAGGGAGCACCGGGGCGATACCCCAGTCTCCAGGCAGCAGGGACGCAGGGGCGGAGTGTTAGGCTTATGGCGAGAGCTCTCCCAGCTCTGCGCAGCCAGGTCTGGATGCCCCACACTGCATCCCAGGTGGGGTCTCTCTTGCTGCCGGATGAGCCCTAAGGCAGCCACACAAAGCAGGTCCTGAGGGTGGGCCAGGGCCCCTCACTGACCCACTCCCTACCCAGCCCCAGAGCATTCACTGTACCAGGCCCTTGGTATTGTTTTGTTTTGTTTCGTACCAGAATGACACCAGAGTTATGCTGCTCCCATTGAACTGGCAGCCTACATCCACCAGGGGACAGCACAGCCTACTGGCCAGAGCAGGGATGGAAGGTAGATGCTTGTGGGATCTAATCCTGGCTCTGCAAACGACTCTGTAAATGTCACTGCCTCAGTTTCCCTATCTGTAAGACAGGGACAGCGATACCCACCTCTCCAGAATTTGGACTAGTTTACAGAGCATTTTGGACATGCTCCTTAAGCATTAAGTGACAATTTTTTTGGCTGGCTGAGAGGTAGGGCCCCCAGTTAGCTCAACGTGTGAATGCAGAGAAAGATTAATTTTCTAAACCCAAACATTACCACCAACATTCATGCTAGTGCTGGCAGGAGCAGCTAGTGTGACTCCTCTCTCTGGCTTCTTTGGACACTCTCCCACTGTGGGAGACATGCAGAAAAAGTTTTGAATGAAAAAGCAAAGGTCCAGCCAGGAAGCAGTTCCCCCACTGAAGAGAAACCGTGGTCATCACTGTGTGAATCGGGATGCTGGACCGGATCAGAGCACACTGGTTGAGTGTGCTTCTTCCTTCTTCTTCGGTGTCTCCGCGGCAGTCTGGAAATCATTCAGCTTTTCTTTGTCCATCTGGATTTCTACCTTGTTCCTCTTGGCCATGCTCTGATTGATCTCCATGAAGGTTTTGCCCTTGGTTTCGGGGACAATGATGAAGATGTAAATGAAGGTGACCAGGCAGATGGCGCAGAAGACGAGGAAGCAATAGGCTCCAAGCCCTTCCTGGAGGAATAAAAACCAGAGGGGAAGGAGTCAGGGAACATGTAGGGGATGCAGGATATCATAAGATGGAGGCTCTACAGGGATGTGCCCTGTCACATGGTTTGGGAATGCAAAACTCTGCAGCAGCTGTAAAAAAGGCAGCGGCATAGACCCGTATTTAATGTAACCAGATGAAGATAGCCAAGGTGCTGGATTCACAGCCCTGGGGACTGAAGGCCTGTGTTTAGCCACAGAACCGGCACAGCCTGGGCTGTGGACCTGATCCTTGTATCTTGCACCTTGGGTTGTTCATTCACACCCGGCAAAGTGAATGTCAAGCACCCCCAGTTCTAAGGCGGTAGTGGTTTTACACCCACTTTGCACAGGTGTGAAAGACAACACAAGATAGGGCTCGTCAGGCACCATCGCGGTACAAGCTGCCCACACAGTCATGCCAATGCACGTCCATGCTGAGTTAGAGGGATCACTTCTCACGGGGAGAAGTTTCATCTCCATGGCCCATTCTGGGCCCAATCCAATGCCCACTGAGGTCAGGGGGAGTCTTTCTGTTGGCTCCAGTAAGCATCAGAACAGGCTGTTAATCCTGTCTAGCTAAGCATTTATATCGTACTCACCACTTTGGTACCTGAGCACCTTAAAATGCTCAAGAAATCTCCCCCCATTTCTCCTGAGACTGCCAGCAAGTAGGAGGAAGAAGGGGGGCTGAGAGTTTATCTATCCACATTTCACACCCATGCAAAGGGAATGGAAAATACCCCCAGTTCTGAGGTGGTAGCGGTTGTCAGATATCAATAGCTTGGGTCACTGCTGACCTGGGCTGGATTTGAACCAGTGACCTAGAGGTGAAAAACTATAAATATCTTTAATTCCCCCTGAAACATCTACTCCCCACCACGGAATCCTCTGGAAGATTTTTGTAAACTTTCAACATCTCTGAATTCAGCACTAGGCAAGGGCCCGAAAGAGGAACTAAGATATACTGGGGGGCAGATCCTCAGCAGACACTGAAGTCAATAAAGCAATGCTGATTTACCCCAAATGAGGTTCTGGCCCTTTATAGTTAATCCTTCACACATGCATTCTGGGACTAATTGAGGACTAAAAAAGGGCTAGTGTTCCCCTTTAAGATTATCCCCCCCATGGGGGGGAAGCTGCTCCTAACCTCAGGTGACAAACCCCCATGAGACTCTGGAGATCGCTCCTCACTCACCACCATATAAAGGAAGACGAGCCCCACCGTGAAGTTGCTGAGCCAATGCACAGATCCACCCACCATGAAGGCCGCAGGCCGAGATGACTGAAGGAACATTTCAGTGATCATCACAAAGGGGATTGGACCTTGAAGAGAAAGAGGAGATTGAATGTTTTAACAGGCATTTCCCTCGCCCAAATCCTTAGCAGGCGCGACACTGAACGTACAATAGAAAGCGGTGGTTCCTAAGGCACTCGTGTTTACAAGTACCTGGATAAACTAACTACAGGAAGAGATGGAAAAAGCAGAAAGGAATGACTGTAACTAGCCATGGTCATGGTTCCGAGGCTAGCTACACCTCTGTCCCTCCCTCATCTCTGAGCATACTCCTCAGCTGTCAGGCCTCGTGCCTTTACCTTTCCTAGGGTGGAATTTTGCAATTCTTCCACTGCTAGACTGGGCCCTGGATTACAGCCCCCTGCCTATCTACGGAGCCCATCCAGCAGGTGTGACAGGGCTCTGGGAGCCTGTGACCCATGTTATCCAGTGATCAGACAGCCTTCTTAAACGAACTGTTCTTTGTCCTCACAGTGGGTACAAGGAGGAAGATGAAAAGGATTTTAAAACAAGAAAGAACCTGCTCTCCTATTTTTCTTCCCTAAGCCCCCACCCCCTTCCCCTGAAGGCCTGACTTCTTCCAACACCTCACCACCTGCCTGTGTCAATCTAGTTTCTCAAACAGGTATCCAGCAACAACCTGCCTCTCCCTTGAGAAAGTCCCTGTATGCACAGCCGGGCTGCCACATTGACACTGCTCGAGCATGTCAACCCAAGCAGCAATCGCGCTTTGGACTGCAGGGTGGGCACACCCTCACACTGGAGATCTCGGATAGGGCAAATTGGCTTCTTTGAGGACAGCCGGCTGCCAGAATAGTTGCTGCTGTCTCTGCTAAAGAAACTGGCCCTTGGGGAAATTCCTGGTGGGGGCAGGGAGGGCAAAGCTCCCTGAATGGCAATCTAAGGTAAGAACCCCACTGCCACCCATAGTTGGCAGAGAGGGGCAACAGGGGCAGTTTGCCCCAGCCCCCGTTTGAGAGGGCCCCCAAACCTGTGGAATTTGAGTGTCTTTGTGAGGTAGCGCCATTCAGGTTTGGCCCAGCTGCTGAGCCAGTCCACCGGGTCACAACCCCACTCACTCAAACTTGGCCGGGCCATCTCCCTGTCCCGTCAGAAGGGCAGCTGGGCCAAACTGGAGCGGCCCTACAACTTCATGTGTGAGGCCGGGATGCCCGGAGCGGGAAGCCAGGCCCAGGAGCTGCTGCTGCAAGGGGTGGATCAGGCTCGTTCTCCAACTCCTGACCCACCCACAGTCTAAGTCTCAGGGGAGGAGGGGTGGCCTCAGTTTCAGATTTTGCCCCCCCCCCATGCAGCCCTGAATACCCCTTTGAGGTATCCAGTTACATCTGGATCAAAAGAAAATGGGGAAAGGGCTGGGCGGTCATTCCCTGGCTGAGAAGCTAGTAAATGTTTACCGCCAAGGCAGAGATAAGTTAGACAGAGGGAAGAAAAGACCTCGCTGCTCACTCACAAACACACCGCTGTGGAAACCCTGTCACTCTGCACTGAGAGTCTCCTTTCTGCAGCTGGCATTCCTGAGCCAGTCCGACCATGCACATAGAAGAGGAAAGCGTTGGGGGGATTGGCAGTTTCCACGAGCCAGAGAAACCCTTGCAGGAGCTGCAGTGTTGGGAATCGCTCGGCAGGGCTCCTCCAGCGAACCAATGCAAAGCACCTCTGCTGCAACAGGGCAGTGCAACTGTAAGGAGGTGCAGATCCGGGACAAAGCCTCCACGACCATGCACACGCTGCTCCCACCCACTTCATGGAACAGCCACGGCAGAATTTGGCTTTTAGGGGACAGTTGCCTGTTGCTCCATGTGGAACATATAAATGCAAGAAAGCAGCATTCAGATTAAACCGGTGTGACACACCCACCAAGGGGGGTTTGGCTCCAAAATGTATTGGGCACGTCTCGGACACCAGCAAGACTGTGTCTTTAGAGAGCCTCTTGAAAATAGAAGATCACGTCCTTCTCTTACCAATACACTCAGACAGCCCCCGGAGATCCTCCTTTAGCTGGCATGAGAAGGGGCCTGCATGTCTGGGGACAGAAAGCCCTGACCCCTGGACCATGCGTGCAGCCTAGCTGATAACTATCAGGTCTGTATCATTACTGCTAAGTCACACGGCCAAGCAGAAACACACCAGCTCATCTCTGCATCAGCTCAAGTTGCTGTTTCAAGTTTATGTCTTTGTTTTACCATCCTGTGCACACTTACTAGCTCCGATAGCATGTCCAATGATATAGGCGATGACGCAGGCTATGCTGAGGTACTGCATCCAGGAGACAGTGGCCTGTGGGGAATTCAGTCACTGAATTACAGCCAGTTCTCTTCTAAAGTGATCAGCAAAGTCAAGGTGCCGTTTGCAAGCAGACTGTGGGAAGCTGTACGCCCCAGTTGCTGCTCCGTGTCTGGCGGAGATTGTGAAGGGGATGGATCAGGCAGCGTCACTAGCTGGGCTAAGCTTACAGCCTCGGCTGGAACCTCACTTCCTATGAGCAGACCCAAGGGGCACTACCAGAGATGCACACAATGGGCAAGGGTCAGAAGAACTTAGAGGGAGGGAGGGAGAAGCAATCAAATTCAGCTCTGAACGTGCTCACTGCTAACCCAACCATGTCATTAATGGAAGTCCTGCTTTTTCCAAGCAGGGTGGCTGCTTCCCACTGCGGTTTGTGCTGCGTAAATAGGGTGGTGCAGGGAGGCCTTGCGTATTCTCCCTGCAGCTCTGGAAATAGTGACCCTGCCCACATCCCCCTAGAGGGTCCAGACAGACAGACACTATCACCTAAGCCATCCGGGCACATACCTGGAGGTTGAGGGCCATCGTTAACACAGCACAGGATACACAGCAGATCCCAAAGCCAGCGAGAAGCAGAAGTCTCCTCCCCAGGGACTCAATGATGAAAACCTGAGGGACACAGCACAAGAGGGTGAGAAAGGGGGCACCAAGGGAACCCAGCACACCTAGTCCTGAGAGGAGAAAGTGCACGGGGGGGCTGTCAGCTGTTAGGGGCGGGGCATTCTGAGGAACCTAGCGCTTTGCAGTTCTGCATGGAAGAGTCCTCTAGAATTTAAGGGCAAGGAAGCCAACAGAGTTCTATACAAGTGTCCTAGGGTTCTCCAAGAATTACTTTATAAGCCTCTAGAATTTAATAGAGAACAAGATCCCCTTTCTCTAGGGCTTTTTATACAAGCCTGTAGGAAGTCAACAGCAGGGGGATAATTGTCCAGCAAATCCTAGAGGATGGATCCAAAAAAACCCACCCCAATCCTAAACAAACTTATAGAGAAGTTTATATTTTGTACATTCCATGGGGCTGTTCCATTAGGGAAATTCCAGTATTACCAGTAAAGTGTGGATTGGAAATAAAATAGAGACCGTGAAAGCTGGGGGGAACCCCCCCCCACCCCGATGCTTAGCACACTTCTAGGGCAGTCAGCAGTCCCTACCCCGACTGCCTAATCCAGGCCAGGACTTAGGGAGACCCTGTGCAGTGACACTGGACAGGCCAAGTTGTGCTAGTCAGTCCGAGGCAGAGAGAACCACAAGATGCGCCTGGGTCCAAGCACGGGGGAAGGATAGCTCAGTGATTTGAGCATTGGCCTACTAAACCCAGGGTTGTGAGTTCAATCCTTGAGGGGGCTATTTAGGGATCTGGGGCAAAAATCTGTCTGGGGATTAGTCCTACTTTGAGCAGGGGGTTGGACTAGATGACCTCCTGAGGTCTCTTCCAACCCTGATATTCTATGATCCTAAGAAGGATTCCAGCCAAGTCCCGCCTCGTCTCTCCCGTGAGCAGCACTGCAGCATTTATACTATACTCTTCATCAATAGATGTCAAAGCACTTCACAAGGGTGGATAAGCATAATTACTAGTGTTTCACAGATAGGGAAACTGAGGCACAGAGCAGTCAAGTGATTCACTCAAAGTCACACAGTGAGCCTCTTGCAGAACTAGGAATAGAACTCCTGATCCCAGGCACCAGGTAAAAAAGACATCTTTTTCTTATGGCTGCCTGTGCATTCCCAGAGCCCAACCACCTGTCTGAGTTGAAGAGATTTTTCTCCACCCTAGCATCAGGGGTGTCACTAGCAATCAGTGATTCATAGACACATGGGCAGGCCTGTTGCCTCCAAGCCCATGGGACCACATCCACAATCTCCCAGTGCAGAGATGCCATTATATCCGTCCATTACAGTAACACAGCAGTTGCAAGGACAGAGAGTGCACTAGCGGGAGTGGCAACATAAGACCTGGTGAGGCAGCGAAGTAGATCCTGCTATTTCCCCAAAGAAAGTTGTAATTGTATGCGTTGGTGTAACCCAGCATATGCCCACTATTACATGGCAGGAGCTTAAGGAAACAATTTGCCTCTCTGTTTAGTGTGACTTGAGCACCAAGGGACTTTTCCTCTAAATGTGGGAAGGGGTAGTTGTGTTAATGGTAATTGTATAAAGGGACCAGAGAGGTGGGCAGTGAGGGGATTAGAACCTGTAGGGCAGTGGGAGAAACTTACCGCTACGCAAGTCATGAACACATTGACTGCACCTATCCCCACTGTGACATACTGCACGTTGTTTTCATTCACACCTGCAGACTTGAAGATTTCATCTGTATAGTAGAAGATCTGCAATCAAACCATACCTGTGGTTATACTTGGCCATTCATAGATGGGGGAAGGGGAGGCTCTGAGTTAGGCACCTCCAGGCTGTAAAAGCAGCCAAACACAAATCCAAGATCTGAACTCTCCCAAACTTTGGAGACATCCACATCTGGATCCAGCTGTTGGGACTGGTTTCTTTCTCCATAAATCTCCAAAACTGAGACCCCTGGGCAGAACCCTCCTAAACAATCAGATCCTGATACAAACTTCATGGCATGGGACCAGTCGCATTTCCCAAGGTCTAGACTGGGTTTTTTTGTCCATCTGGAATGGGTTCTAGTGTCTGTGCCAGCACTGCCCTGCCACTCTTGCCTAAGAACCCAGGTCCTCTCCTAGTCCACCTGATGATCTTCCTGGGTGTCATCTCACCTACCGCGTTAACTCCAGAAAGCTGCTGGCCCATCATCATGACAATGATGGAGATGAGCTGCCACCGCAGGGCCTGGAAGGTGCAGAGGTTGAACACGGACAGACGACCGTCCAACTTTTCTGACTGGTCTTCCCGACACATCTCTTTGATCTCGTCATCCACATCGTCCCAACCTCTCAGCCTCTTCAGAGCTGGATGGGAGGAGGGAAGGGGAAGTTGGGTTTCCAGGTAAACTCAGCTAGTGGGAGGAGGCTGGAGTTACAGGAAACCAGAGAGGGAATTGAGATACCCCAGAAGCAGCAGAGCAGTCTTGGCTACTTCTGCACGGTGGGAAACAAAGCAACCAGCCACAGTCATAGGACTGGAGGGAGGGCCATGGGGTCCTTCATATGAGCCAACAAAGGAACAATGAGAAGGGGGACCAGAGTTCCCCTCGCGAAAAAGTACTTTTATCCTGGGCTTGATTACAAGGCTCGGGTTTCTTACGAGAGCTTTGAGAGCCCCAACCCATCTTCTTGCAAACAGAGTTCAAGGAGTTTGTGTTCTAGTGGTGAGAGCAAGGAACTGGGAGCCAGGACTCTGCCACTGACTATTTTTCTTACTCTCAGCAAATCAGTTATCCTCTCTCTGTATCCATTTCAGCCCTATCGCGTAAAACTGGGATTATATGTACTTGCTGTACAGGGAAGCATAAATGAACTACTGTTTGCCAAGTGCTTTGAAAGCCTGAGATGTACTATAAAAGGGTAGCACCAGTAGCTTAATGCATCCTAACCTGACTTTTGGTTCAGGATGCTTCCCAACAGCATATTCCCATAAATCACAGAATCATAGAAGTGTAGGACTGGAAGGGACCTCGAGAGATCTTCTAGTCCAGTCCCCTGCACTCAGGGCAGGACTAAGTACTATCTAGACCATCCCTGACAGGTGTTTGTCTAACCTGCTCGTAAAAATCCCCAATGATGGAGATTCCACAACCTCCCTGGGCAATTTATTCCAGTGCTTAACTACCTTGACGGGAAGTTTTTCCTAACGTCCAACCTAAACCTCCATTGCTGCAATTTAAGCCCATTACGTCTTACCCTATCCTCAGAGGTTTATGAGAACAATTTTTCTCCGTCCTCCTTGTAACAACCCTTTATGTACTTGTCAACTGTTATCATGTCTCCCCACAGTCTTCTCTTCTCCAGACTAAACAAACCAAATTTTTTCAATCTTCCCTCATAGGTCATATTTTCTAGACCTTTAATAATTTTTTTTTATCTTCTCTGGACTTTTTCCAATTTGTCCACCTCCTTCCTGAAATGTGGTGCCCAGAACTGGACACAATTCTCCAGCTGAGGCCTTATCAGCGTGGAGTAAAGCGGAAGAATTACTTCTCATGTCTTGCTTACAACTCTCCTGCTAATACATCCCAGAATGATGACTGTTTTTTTTGCAACAGTGTTACACTGTTGACTCATATTTAGCTTGTGATCCACTACGACCCCCAGACTCCTTTCCACCATACTCGTTCCTAGGCAGTCATTTCTCATTTTGTATGTGTGCAATTGATTGTTCCTTCCTAAGTGGAGTATTTTGCATTTGTCCTTATTGAATTTCATCCTATTTACTTCAGAACATTTCTCCAGTTTGTCCAGATCATTGTGAATGCCCTTGCAACTCCAAAGCACTTGCAACTCCTCCCAGCTTGATATCGTCCACAAACTCTATAAAGCGGCTTCTCTCTGTCATTATCTAAATCATTGATGAAGATATTAACCAGAACCACTGGACCCATTCCTGTGGGACCCCACTTGTTATGCCCTTCCAGTTTGACTGAACCACTGAGAACTACTCTCTGGGAATGGTTTTCCAACCAGTGCTGCACCTACCTTATAGGAGCTCCACCTAGGTTGCCTTTCCCTAGTTTGTTTATGGATGGAGACCTAGTTTCAAATCCATGCCCCTGGCCCTTCTCCTAGTTCTCTTGCTAGCAGTGCTAGGCAGTCGTGGCTGTACCTTGCCTGGCTTGTTCTTCATTGCCCTTCTGTATCAGTAGGTACCTGGGACTCTCAGGAAAGAAGGGCAACAGGAGGAGTTCCACCACTGCAGGGATCCCAGTTAGCCCTAGTAACACTGGCCAGCCTGCAACAGACAAATAGATAACAAGGTGCCCAATGAGAGAGCTCATCCACTGAGGAGCAGTCAGAGATCTCTTCCTCAGACCGGGGCTTTACCTTCCAGGTTTCCAAGGATGTTAGAAAGACCCAGGATCTGAGCTATAAGGATGCCAATGGTGATGAAGAGCTGGGGCACCACCCCGACTGCACCTCTCAGGTTTTTGGGGGACATCTCTCCCAGGTACATGGGAACGACATTGGAGGACAGGCCTAGGTGAGAAGAGAGAGAGGGGTTAGTCCTGCTCTGGGATGTGAGTGCTCGCTGTAACACCTGGACGTTCAGGGACTTGACCAAAGTATTTTTCCAGATGATGACAGCTGACCTCCTGTAGGTCACAAGGGGCTGGACGGCACTGGAGACTGGAGTTTGCTTTCTGCTGCTACATCCCAGGTTCACAGTTAGCCTAGGCTGTCAGTGGCTGAATGCTTATTGCCATAGAATCACAGAATATCAGGATTGGAAGGGACCTCAGGAGGTCATCTAGTCCAACCCCCTGCTCAAAGCAGGACCAATTCCCAACTAAATCATCCCAGCCAGAGCTTTGTCAAGCCTGACCTTCAAACCTCTAAGGAAGGAGATTCCGATGGCCACTCTGGCCTGTGTGAAGGGAACCAATGTCATTTTTCTCCCTCCATTTGAGCTTAGAATAAAAGAGTAGGTGGCATCAGCTCCATTCCTAGTCTGAAGGTGTCCATGGTACAAAGTCCATCACCTGAGGTGGCATCT